TGGCGAAAAAAATTCGCCAAAAAAAATCCAGTTTGGCGAAAAAAAGATTTCACCCACTTTATGGCATTTTTAGAACAACGGTTTCAAAGTACCTTTTGGCGAAAAAAATGTCACATTTGGCGAAAATGAAGATTTCATGAGTATGTTACATCATAAGGATAATACTACAAGAATTTACATATTTCTTTATTTTCATACATTAATGTATTTGAATGAGCACGTTATCGCTGGATTATTTTAATCTTCTCCTTCTTAGCTCATCAATTATATTTTTACCGTCAGTCACCTACCCCAGCCTAAAAAAAATCATGTCTGAATTTAACGAGTTCACTAGCAGAGAAAATAATGGCAATAGGATGAGTTCAATAAGGTTTAATGATCCCACATCAATTAATGAACTAGATCTGCCAATCCTACTGCTTTCAATACTAAGGGGATATACATTTTTGATGAAGGAGATGGAATATAATGGAATTTGTATTTTCTCAACCGAAGCAAATGTTAGCTAGATGCTCATTATACATGTTGCAGAGATTGGCAAAATTGGATACCTGGATTTGTGACACAGATTTTGTGTATAGGACTCAAGCTAGTCATGAAAAATTTGTAACTTGGTTATCCAAACTTACAAGAAGCGCTCCAGACTATAAATAAGTCCTAATTTTCTGAAATTTGAATTATCTAATAATTTGTTGCAATTGTATTAATTTTAAGGCGTTTGACATGAATAACTACGAAATTTATTTTTCGTCAAATGTGCTTTTCCGAGTTTTTCACTTTCGCCATATGTGACAAAAATTTCGCCATTCGGGATTTTCATCCTAATTTTTTTTACCACTTTGGCGAAAATTTATTTTCGCCAAATCGGCTTTCGCCAAACTGTCTGTCAATCCCGGGTACCGGGTAGTTACCCGGTACCCGGCATACCCGGCCTGTTTTAGGATACCCGGTACCCGGCCGGTTAGACTTAAGTACCCGGTTTACCCGGCCGGGTAATTTAAATATTCAATTTTCTTACTTAAAATGCAAAATCTTTAAAAATACAAAAAATACCGATGGATTTCATTTTTGTACTTGGTAGAAAATAATATATTTGGAACGAATAGGAATAAGTACAACTTTGGAAATTTAACTTTTAATTTTAAAATTGTTGCAAATTCTGGAAAGACTAGAAAAATACCCGTTATTTTAAATATATAAATATTACCCGGTACCCGGCCGGGTAGCCGGGTACCCGGCAAAAATTTCAGGCCGAGTACCGGGTAGCCGGGTACCGGGTAGTACCACTACTCGGGGCAATCCTACATAAATATATATGTACGTCAGTTACGAATGAAATATGACTTTATCCATTTATTGATAAATAGTCCCCAAACTTTCTGAGAATATTCACGATCACTAGTAAATACATAAATATATGTCTTGAACACTATCCGGTACGGAAAGATTACTATTTATATTACACCTTCTACGCCAATTTAATGTTTTTCAATATATTATGTATGTATTCAAAGTTATACACAATATACGGTGGCAGCAAATAATATATGGATTAATTATAGGTACATGCATATGTACATAGGTATGTATATACGTTAGACTGCATGTGTATTCCGAAGTCTTACATATTTTTATACCAAGTTGGGGGCCAAATTAACATTTTCAAAAATATTTGGCCACCAATTTTTCTCCCAGTTCGATAGCATTAGTGACACATTCCAGCGTTAACAAGGTGGTCCCATAATAAAGGCCACCATCACCTTGAATGGAGTCGAAATTTGAGTAAAATCCTTTTCGAATGGAGTCGCTCGTGACGTGGGGAAAGTACTCGGTCGTCTTCATGTATAAAGTTTTCGAAAATGGGTGGATATTCTTTAGTGTCGTTTTAAATTTTGTGGCCATTATTTCCATGTTGTGGTTAGTAGCGGGTTCGGTGTAGTCACCGTAAATCCAGAGCCCGATTTGTCTCGTGGCTCTATATTAATTGCAATTTTTTGCGTGTGCTGCTGCTGAGAAGATTTTAAAGAGTAACTGTGATTTGTCTCGTGAGGCAATATTTATTGCGGATTTTTTGCACTAAAAGAAGCAGCTTCTAAGTAGGCACATTTGTTTGTAACAGGTTATTCGTTTAGTCGAAATATGCTTACCTGGCAAAGCGACGTATGATTGAAGGGGATTTAACAGGAATTGTGGACAACGACTAGCAAATTTAAAGTTCTAAAATGCTAGTGAAATGGACAAAAATTAGAAACAATTTGAGCATGTCACGATACAATATTTGCTTTTTATAATTTTAGTAACCTAAAAACAATTTTGTCTAACATCGATGAACGCTAAATTAGCCTTAAAATTTATTGAATTTAGATCATCATGAGTAATCTTGTCGTTTTTGCACAAAAACTCGCCATAATCAAAGGTGTCGACATTGCCATGAAGTTGCTTGAAAATCTGATTTTAATCGAAGAACACGCTCTCGTCATTTTATTAAACAAGATTCTCGCCTTCTTATCGTTTAAAGACGTCCGCCTGATCTTCCCGATATATCGGATCGACCTCTTATTCACGCAACCAGTTATCGTTCCTAAGCCAAAGATAATAATGGTTGATTCTATCGCAAGAAAAGGATAGAAGAAGTTGGCAGGGTGCGTGAGGATACCCGATTTCAAGGTAAACGTCAAACTTGCACCCAACACGTTCGACGACACGACGAAACATAAAATTGTAGGTAGAAGGACCGACCTGTAGCAAAAGTTGATCTGCCCAACAAGGATTTACAATTGTTTGTAAAGATAGATTAATTCACGCTGCTTTTCCAGGGATGGAGATTCTCTATTATTTGTCCTGAAATTTAAAATGATGGGAAATTTGAAAATTGGTCGATAGTCTTATTCATAATCGTATCCATAATCTCATATGTACAAACATCGAATCCTAATAAATTAAAAATGTCACAGAAATATTTTTTTTTACTTTGTTGTAAACACAATCGCCTAATTGAATTGTAAAATTTAGCATCTTATTTCCAACTTTATCAACAAATTAGGCGAAGCATCTTACCAAGACAAGCAATTCAGATAGGACATTACACATAGCACCGTTCCGAGGAACACATTGCCCAAGATGAAGACAGTAAACGATCCGATGACAAAGATCGACCAGTGCTGAGTGAAAGAGACGACAGGATGCAAAAAATAATTGCAGGTCACGAAATTGTTTATACAATGCCTGACGACCAATGATCCTAGGAATGGATGCATCTTCGGGTCATAGAGATTGAGTAGCAAGAGGAAAAACGGGCCCCCAATGCCGACAAGTAGGGTCGATACGAAACAAAACTGGAGCCCAAGGATGGAATTTCGATTGGGGTATCCTGTAAAAGATGAGGCATATTTATGCAAGATTGTGCATAGTTCGCGTAGCGTAGACTGTTCGGTTTTTATTTTCCTAAAAAATCATTCTTAAGTGTGAATTCAGGGACAAAGAAAAACTGGAATGAAAATCTCCACCACAGCTTTAGACCAAATTGGTGTCAATCAATCCTGTCTTGTGAGTTGATATTAAGCAATGCAGTCTGATCAAGTGGGATGAAAAGCAAATAACTTGAAAACCCGGAGTCAGAAATCGGGATGATCGACTTTTTAAATTAACCCAATTTTTTAACTGGATCAACTTACCCGAGAAATGCCTTCCAAACGCGTAATCCAGTCGTTGCAACGTGCTAAGCAAGAATTTGAAGTCGTCCAGATAATGGAGAAGATATATCGCGAATATCGATGCAAGGGATAAGCCAATCGCAAACAATGCAACGAACAATGTCTCAACTTTGCCCAGTCGGGTGAATATTAGCGTGTAAAAGGAGTTCACCAACGTTGTAAATCCAGTTAATACAACGATGCTAAATTTCAGGATGGAAAATCCTCCAGATTTTACAAACTCACTACGTTTGGGATGAAATTTTAGTAGCTCAATTCTCAATATGACGCGAAGATAGGTAAGGTGCAGATTTAGTAACTTTAAGCCAGCGGTGAATAACATTTTTAAATATATTGTACCCAATATTTGCAAAATATTTACAAAAGTAAGTACGATTAATACAGAACTGTAAAAAATCTGGTAAAGCCGCATATGGTAATAAAATTCACTGGAAGTGGAATGGATTCCTTGTCCAATAGCGAATATAATAATTTCCAGTTAGGACTTACATATTGCTATCTTGAAAATAATGTGGCCCTTTTGAAAATATGATGCTATCTCAATTTTACAAACGTAAAGACTTTTCTGTTGATCCACTTATGTACCATTACTCTGAATTTAGTGGGATTTATTAGCATTCGCTTTTGATAAGGGAACAATGTTATTTTCCTCGTGTGCAAACAATAATGTTGTTAAGTTTAATAAATAATTATTTCTCCAGTAATTCTGTGTATGCACAGGTTTACCCATATTTGCATACATATCCCTACTTTCACACTTAAGCTCATTAATGAATAATTTGAATTCCTACTTTAGATTTAAACTAGTACATATTTATAGGTATGTACATATGTATGATAAATACAAGGCTCAAGTCAACGCCAATATTGTTCGAAAATAAAGCAGGGTTTTGATTAAAAAAAATAACAACCCAGGGGTTTTATGCATTAAATTATTAGCAATAAATTCGACATATTTGTTTCACAACCAATTGTTAAAGTTGCGAGAAATATTTGCCGCATTTGTTGGTAAGAAACCTAAATGAAACCTCCTAAAACTCATCACACTCATTGGGTTTTAATTTTTTAAGTAAAAACCTTCGTTTTCATCCCTAACAAACTTGGCATATCATCCAAATTAAATCAACTGTCATCTGCTTCGCAAATATTTAAATTTTCGCATGTTTTCATTCGAGACAAATACGTAAGTATTTATGGACATTCGACGTGGAAGTTGTACCCGTTTGGTATATTTTATATGCAATGTATCAACTCGATAGATAAAAATTTTACATATGTACGTATGTATATCGTTCTAATATTTTCAAACATATATTTATATCGTAAATTCCATTAGCACCGGAAAGATTACTATTTATTTTACATTTACAAAATATAGCAAAGTTTATGTCTTAGGTGTTTAAACATTAAGACTTTAAAGTTGTACACACTAACAATTTGGTGGTAAGAAATAATACAATAATAATAGGTATTTACATTACATATGTGCATACATATCCTTCTCGTAGACTAGTTATGTTTATGTAAATATTTCCAAGTCTCAAACACATGTAAGCATTTCAAAATTTTGGCAAGATCATCATTCTCAGAAATATTTTGCCACCAATTTTTCCCCAAGCTCGATAGCATTGTTCACACATTCCAGGGTTAACAAGGTGGTCCCATAATAAAGGCCACCATCGCCTTGAATCGAGTCAAAATCGGAGTAAAATCCATTTCGAATCGAGTCGCTCGTCACGTGGGGAAAGTATTCGGTCGTCTTCATGTATAACGTTTTTGAAAAGGGATGAATCTTTTTTAGCGTGGTTTTCAATTTTGTGGCCATTATTCTCATCTCTTGGTCAGTAGCGGGTTCCGTGTAATCTCCATAAATCCAGGAGTACGCATTGTAGCAGAGACGTTCCTGGAAGAATGGCAATTTTTAAATTTAAAATTTGGTATTTCAACAAACGTCTTGTGTATTTCGCATATGTATGTATACACTTATTTTACAAATTTTCAAAAAGTTTATATCATAAGAGATTTCGCAAAATATATTTTTTGAAAATCTGTTCAGTTCTGTTATCCTATTTTAATTGGGTATCCGCAATTTTTAATGCATTTAATAGAGGATGAATAATCTTGCGAAATAAAGTCAGGGTCAAGTTTTCGGTAAATTTTCTAAAACATGCTTTGGGTTTAAAAAAAATGGTTTTGCGAAATCTCGCAAAATTCGTAAAACCTCCCAAATTATGCCTAATTTTAGTCATGAGAAAGTTGAGTGAGTACGCCCAAATGTTTCCAAATTATTTGTTTCCAGGCAGAAAATATGTCCATAAAATAATTTGCCATAGAAATCACATTTTTAAAATAAATATCTCAACTTACCCCTTTATTCTGCTTTACCAGCACAACCGGTCCGCCATCCCCCTGCGGATAGATCATCTTTGGAAAAAGATGTCTGTTATAGTCGTACCCAATCTCCGGAACCAGCCCCGAGTACACGGCCCGATTCAAACTCGGTATTAAATTCCCGCTCGAAACATACTTCATAATTTTCACCTGGTTAAAAACCTGTTTCTCCTTATGACTCAAATCACTCACTAAAACCGCCAACTTATTCATCAACGGCGGAAAAGCTAATATCGTCCTTTTACAGATCTGGGTAATCTGCGACTTCATATTTCCCGCGCTCACTTCAAACGTAACGTACTGCACATCCTTGTCCCGATTTCGCTTAATATCGACCGCCCTCCAACCTAAATTTTTATTCTGCACAGAGGCCGCCATTCTTTCGGCAAAAGTATCAAATCCCTCCTTAACTGTGAATGAGGGCCCGCCAATTTTGAAAAAGTTTTCCGCGTCATCCGCAATAATAAATTTCAGCGCATACATGGCGGGAGTATCTTTCACATCTCCGTACCCCATAGAGGTCAAAATTACCCCGAAAAGGGGCAGCAGCTCGGAAATGTTTCGCTGTTTTAACCAAGTCTCAATCGGTGTCGCAAGTTCCTCCAGTTTCGCTTTAGAAGCGGGAGAATTATACCCCAGTTCGAGCGCTTCTTCGGATAAGAAGTTCCAAAAACGTTTATATTCGTTATTCAACTGTTGCACTTTGGCGGTAAGTTGCGCACTAAACTCGAGGCGGGGGAAGATGACACCACTTTTCGGGTTGAACAGGGCGTGGTCATGAATATTGAAGGGGATCGTTGTTAAGTTTACGCGATTCATGTGTTTCACGATGTACGTCATTTGATCAGAGTAGAGAATCGGGCCTTTCTCTATGACGATGGTGTCGCCGTATTCGTCTTTGGACCGGTAAGTGTCTAATTTCCCGCCGAAACGGGATCCCCCCTCGTATAGGATGACATTATCGTAGCCTTTTTCTTGTAATGAATTTGCTATCGTGATTCCACTAATTCCACCACCAATTACGCAAATTGGGTATTGTTGCGAATAAATTTGCTCGACGGAAATTAGGAGGAGTAAACACTGGGATAAAACTGAGGAATGTAATGTCTTCATAATATCAGAATTTAATATTTTCAGTTACAAATTTTGGGAAACTATGTAGTGACCCGGAATTGCCTCGTGGGACAGTGCTTATTGCAAATTTTTTGCATGTGCAGATGCTGAGAAGATTTTAAAGAATACGTGCGATTTGACTAACGGGGCAGTATATATTGCGAATTTTTTTTGCAATAAACACAGCAGCTGCAGAGAAGATTTGTTTGTAGCAGGTTATCATTTTAGTAGAAACATGTTTACTTGGCAAAGCGACGTCATACACGATTCAATGGGAGACGCGATTTCCAAAGAATTGTGGACCACGGCTTACTTGCTACTTGGTTCTTAGGAATAATGTCCAACCGGTTTTGTTTAGTATTGTATGAGAGTCAAATTACATACGTAGGTAAATATGTAAGTGACGAGCTGGACCACATGTAAATATGTTTGAATGTGTGTATATATTTACATACATACGTAACTGTGTGTGTGTAAGTATTGGGAATACCTGATAAACATTGTGTTGCGCATAAATTTTGGGATACACATTCACAAACAAAATATATTAGAATTCAACAGTGTTTAAATATTTGAGTAGTGGACCTATCCACGTGTCTTGTATGCACTGTCTAGGAGTAGTGAAAATGTCTACAAGGCCAACATTTTGTGCGAGTAATTTCATATTGCGAAATCTTCGTAACTGGAATTTCAAACAGATTAAGATGTCAACACAAGTACATTTGCGTCCGTGTGATGGTTACATAAGTTTGACTAAAATTTTAAACATGTACGTATTTACATAAGGTATGCACATATATCCAATGTGTTTGTAATAAATATTTCCATGCACGCATTTTATGTGGTTCTCATTCTGTACAAATATTTAACATATGTTAGCAGAGCTAGGTTAAGGGACATATGCAAATGCATGTCGCATCGGTGTGATGAATTTAAAAATTATTAAGTAATGCAAATTATCGTGTGATCGAGTGTCAATGTCGACATAGCTATTTTTTGAATCATGAAACCACCCTTTTGAATATCAGTCATAAAATGATCGCATGAATAGTTAACAAATATTTTTGTTTGCAATTTGTATGTATTTATTTCTCATTGCAATATTTATGTATGCTACAAATTGACTAGATGTAAGTTATTATCACAATTTAACTCAAAATTGTATACGTTTCAAGTTTGATCTCTTGTGGCTGATCAAGTTGCATACGTGTATCTGCGTATTTAATCGCATCAAGCATCTTGTTCCTGAAATAACCTGAGCTTAACTTGAAACGAAATTCGATAAGTCCAAATAGCTATCTCATGCAACAACTTTTTCCGGATCTCTATGAAACATACAGATGTACAAATAACACAACAAATCGCCCAAACGTTACACAACGAAGTAAACTTCGACATAAAGTCTCTCCTCTCCAACTCATTTAAGACTGGTTTAGTCCAGTTTGCATAATGAGGAAATAGCTTCGTCGGCTTGGTTATCTTAAACCACGCTTTCCACCAGTCATAAATGCCACAAGTTACTAACTTCTTCAACTGATCATACACAAAATTCTTTCTATGGGTGTAGTCCACCTGAAAACCCATATGCGTCGATAGGAACTTATCGTCCGCTCCTTTCATGAATACTATACCGTCCTTGTTATCGTTTAAGAAGGGCAGAATTTCCATTATATTTTCGGTGTTATCCAAATAAACGTACTTTTCCTGACATTTGGATAAGTTCGTGTAAAGATCCCACGGCCATTTGTAGTGTAGCTCTTGCCAAATACGAGAAGGAGCTTGGCTTGTGAACGATATCTTCCCAACGGTCCGATCACCCACCATGAGGGCCTTAGCGACCTTTTTATATCCTAAAAGCCTGCTGAGATTACCCTCGTATCTTGCCGACTGAGCCACCTGGGAGGAAAATTCGAAAGCTAGCAGTGTAGTGATAGGAATTCCTTTAGCGTACAATAGGTCCAGATCTCGATATCTGGTTACAGGTAGTAAAAATTTAAATCCAAGGGGTTCCAGATCGTAGATACTTGACCAGGATGGGTTTCGATGATACGGTTGTATTACGTCCGCGATAAAAACGTCTTTGTACATTGATGTAATGGCGGAACAACATACAATCCAAAACCAGAAAGCGGGAATAAGTTTGGTAGGAATAGCCCGACTAATATATTGAGAAAACGAGGTTTCCAAAAGTACAAAGCATGACACGATGACAATGTCCTCCACACCTGCATTATTTTTGACGCTCTTAAAATTTTGTACGTCATCCTTCTCCATCCAAGTTGTCAGGAAGGACATTACGATAAATATAATTACCACGAGGCAAATAGCAATCCACGTGTATATATCGAAAGGCTTAGAAAATACTTGATAGGACAGTTCCTGCTTAATGTCGTAGCACGATATGAAACTACAAGACTTCGTGGCCAACCTAATAATTTGGTGGTTCCCTCTTGAGTTCCGAAGAGAAGCTGATCCATGGTAAAAATATTTCTCATTAAAGGCAATTTTTTGAGGTATTGAAATATTTTGCAATGTATTGGCTAAAATGGTGTAGGCAATGAATTCGTCAAGGGATTTTGACTCATTTGCAAGAGTTATCCAGTTTATCTGGGAATTTTGAAAGAAGTGTTTAGTGTGCATTTTACGAAAAGATAAGTTGTACTCGAGATCACCCCAAATCACGTCCATCCACGGGGTAAAAATCCAGAAATATTTGTTAAATGTGGTCGCCACAAGTTCAGACATTTCATCAATTTGATAGAAGCAATCCGTCGAATTATCTTTATGACAAAAGAATTCAGTATACCTCGGAAATCTGTGAATTAGATGGAGTGGGACAGGGTTAGGATTGTGGGCCCTGTCTTGTCGATGATAACGGTTAAAATGATAGATATTTTGAAAATTGTCGAAAAGGCAGAACTCCCTATTTCCCATATGCTTTAGATCGGTTTGTAACATCCGCATGTAGATTTTGTCCAATTGATCTTGGATTCTCTGTTTTTGGTTCGCTATCCAAACGAAATAAACTGGCCCAATGGATCCTCTAATACTTGGAAATAAATGCGAAAGTAGGAAATTTCCCCTATAAAATATTCTTCCAATTGTAGGGAAAACATTTACCCAGCAGAACCTTTTTGGATTTTTTCTCCTAAAAAAGGTAGTGCGTTGAAATATGAATTTAGGGAATATGTAGGATTCGTTTAGTCCGATTGTCAAATTTTGTTTGGGTTCGAATATAAGTAATGTGGGATGTGAAAGATTCAAATCCACATCTAAATTTTCCAGAATCAATGATATCATGCAATGTGCAAATATGTCCATAACTGATGAAATTTGGTTACTTATTGGGACTCGAGGAAGTTCCATTGCGATCATTTACGATAAATAGGAATGTATTTACCTCTTATTTTAATTAGATATTTGGAGTATTTCCATATAAATGTACCACATTAAAGTGTAGCGCGTTCCACGCAGAAAATTAATTTTCGCACTGGTCAAGGAGCAAGTACATACATTTGCTGTTTTATTAGTAAGTGATAGTAGGTTACTGCTTGTTGTTGATATTCACTGTTAAAATTTGGGCAACAACGTCTGAATTTAGTTGTTCAATAATAATTTACTTGCTTCACTATACTTGAACTTCAGCCTGCAATGAACAAGTACAACAGAACAGCTCATCTTTAGTAGATCAAGGTGTTTACACATCACTTAAACACGTGTAACATGCCGTAATTCATACTTGGAAGAACCGTCACAGAAATAAGTTCAAGTACATACATGAACAATGGACATCGTCATTGATTCAGTGGAGTTATGAAAACAGGTTAACACCATTCGGAACCTTTGCATCATAAGAGTATTGAATACATTTATTGACACAGGTGAAAGCTACAGGTGAGCATGGGTATGAGGCACGCTGGAACTTTTCAAAAGCAAATATCTAAACATAAACACTGCAAGAAAGTTCTCTTGGTTAGTAATGAATTGAGTGAAGAGTTTTCTTGATTCGATCTCTTTTTTAGTGTCCCTTAATGTGATCCAGTCATTAGATTGACCAAGAGTTTACATGCCAAAAAATGACTACACTCTTAGGTAACCGGTATTTAATCATTACGTGTAATTACTCGCCGGAGTACATACATATACTATATGACTACCAACATCGGTAGTATCGATTGTTGCGGCGTAATAATGTGGGGTGATAATGAAATCTATACCACCACTTAGAATCAAACTATAACCAATCCCGTAGGGAATTATTGCAAAGTTAATACAGTGCACATATTTATGTGACTACCGGATGCATTAGAGTCTACCTATGTATACATATGTATTTACATATGTATGTATGTATACATATGTATTTAAGATATGTATTTACGTACATATATCCCGGTCCATGCATACCCTCAGTAGAAAATATTTCCTTCCTCACAGTCGAAGAATAGGTAAAGGAAACTGGAAATATCACAAAGGAACAAGAATGGGATCAAGGACAAATCCAGATCCCTTTTCTAAAATTCTTAGCAACCAACAAAATACCTTTTTTCAAGATTACTTACTATTGTAAATCTTTACCATTCCCTAGATTAGGCCCAAATCGTATAAATCGCAACCTTTTTGGAGATTTTGGCTCAATCATCTTCTCATCTTTCTCTAGGGACGGTCGAAAGAAACCCGAAAGAAAACCGTTTGGTGTGTTTCGAAAGAAACCCCAGACTTAGGAAATATTGGCGTGTTTTGAAAGAACCCCCAATTTAGGAAACATTTAGTGCTTCCTCGGAAACACTCAATTCACGGACCGTACATGCACAACGACATATTTTTAGAAACAATAACATGATTGACGTATGTATGCAAATAGAATTTATAAGAATATATCACGCAATCCTTGCGAACACAAGATAACATTGAATGTACAAATGCATACGCATTTTACAGGTAAGAAGTTTAACCGCTATTTGCATATATTTTTTTATCTTGTTTATTCAAGTAGAAAATTCCATTTTACAAATATTTTCTAATTGGGAACTCGGGCCAGTTTACAGCAATCCAACCAAACCATTTTGGAATATATTTATCTCCTTGGATTATCACTGGTAAATAGAACTCATAAAATATGGAGAAATTCCAACCCTCAACGCTCTCCAAAACACAAAAAAGGAATCTCCGCAGCAGACGGGCAAAAAAAGAATGGAAAAATATCCATGAAATGGGTAGATTAGAGGAAGAAATAGAAATACGCAAAGCAGAGATAAGCAAGTTAGAGGAAGCATTAATGCAGATTAAAGGGAACAAAAGCAAAAATCGGGAAAAAATGTATGAATCGGAAGATCAAAGAGCAAATGCAGCTTTTAACCCATATCCTCATCGACACGACTACCGTAATGAAGAAAAAGTGCAACAGAAATTAAACCAAAATTAAAACACAAAACGCACAGAGATCTTGTTTTAGACAAATGATTAAATTTCAAAAAATTATAATTATGAATTAAGGAAGAGTTGTTATACAAATTATTTCCTCCTTTTGTCGAAAATAATAAAATAAACAAAATAGACCGGTTAGAAATTTATAATATTGGGAAGTTAGGAGTGTTAAATAGATATTACGTAACAAATGTCATATGTTACTGATTAATATGTATATACATCCATCCATAAATACTAATACTAAATACTAAAAATTGTTTAAAAATAAATTTAAAATAATGGTTAATTTTGGCATTAAATTTATTCGAGGAATAACTTTAGTATTACTATGAATTCTAATTAGGTACCCATGTCTTAATTAAACTGAATCAATCTTAATTAATTTCAATTTATTTAAGTAATTGTTTTCTTGGAAACATTAAATGTAGGACAAAAATATACCCATAGTCATAGCAATAAAATTTATGTACATACATAAATGCACAATGTAAGCTATTATTGTTGTCCATAAACTATATAAATTCATAAAATTTGTATATACAATAAACATACAAAGTTCACAAAAAAGTTGAATTCAGTCTAAATTTACATATATGAAATTAATTAATGGCGTAACTCATGGTACACTTAACATCAAATGTTCTGTCCACATTGTACATCACACGCGTCAATTATAATATGCATAAGGAAAAACTAAAATGTGGCTCAACATTCACCCTGTTAAAGAAATTCTTATATATAAATACATACACACACTCCATGCAATTCCATCCACTCGTACAGGAAAACGCTGTGTTGAGTCATATCGGCGTAACCTTCACTTTACGAACTTGCATCTACTCAGGTACCGTACGTAAAGTATGTGCAACTTTTTGCCCACAATCGCCTTAAAGTGTCCGGCAAACTCAAGTTAGAATTTAATATGCAATACGGATAGGTTGCCTTAAGGGTTACATCCATCACATTATTAATGTACGCTCCCATTACGTCAATAATTGTACTATGCGTGATCAGCATTGTACACATGTACATCAACATGCCACAAAGCAAAAAAACCGGCTGATTCATAGATACGTAAAAGTTGACAAGTTCACATCTAAGAAATACTAATTCTTGCTAAAGTAATTAATAAATTGGTCGTGGATGTTTTTCACGGGTAAAATTGTTACACGAGTTATACATACATATTCTGCATTATGTAAAAATTCCTGTAATAATACTTCAACAATTAAAAACCCATATTACATCTTATTCATTACTATATAAGCAGTGTTCGCATTTTTGTCCAATAATGAGACCACTCGTAATTGCTGCAGGGATTGGGATCGGAGTTGTTGCTGGTGTCGGTGTGGTAAATAATTATTTTAATAATATCGTAATTCGGGGTACTCAATACGAGTTGGCATCATTCGCAAATTTAGCAAATTCGTACAAAAATGTATACAAAATTGACCTACAAAACAATTCTCAACAATGCTCGGGTACTGAATTTACTAAATTTACATCTTGATTTTCAGGCATATCTTTCAACAAAATTATGGAAGTATCTTTCAACAAAATTATGGAAGAGTTACCCTTCTCAATCTAAAGATACAGGAAAATATAAGACTGAAATTTTGGTAGGTTTATTAAATAAAGATCGCAAATTTGCAAACATGTACATACATATTTACGATTTTATACCCAAGCAAATGCAACGACTTCGCGATCAGTTGTCCAACCATGGGGAAACCACTGATAGAAAACTGGCACAATTAAAAACACAATTGGAGCAAGGAGAAGGAGAGTAAGTTCTTCACATATTTTATTTCATAGGATATTGAGGGTATTCATGATGCTTTTGTATCATTCGTATTCTTACAAGGGAACATACCGAGGTGTCCAACGAGTTAAGGGTCGACACCTATACCAAAATGACCACAATACATGATTTATTAAACAAACTGAAGGAATTTCCGTGTAAAATTCACTTTTCGTCAAGTTGTGACGATATTTGTGACGAGCGCATGACCATCGGGTTGCCAGAGGGAGAGGTCGGCCGCTAAACGATCAGGTCGAGCACAGAGTAGCGTGGTCGTCTTCAGAGATTTCAAATTCTTTCAAATTTGGAAAACATCTTGACATTCAAAATTTTGAAATTTCTTCAAAATTTCAAAATTTTTTTTAAAATTGCAAAAATTTTTCAAAATTGCAAAATTTTTTCAAAATTTCAAAATTGCAAAATTTTTTCAAAATTTCAAAATTTCAAAATTTTTTCAACAATTTCAAGATGTTTTCAAAATTTGAAAGAATTTGAAATCTCTGAAGACGACGTGAAGACGACCACGCTTCTCTGTGCTCGACCTGATCGTTTAGCGGCCGACCTCTCCCGCTGGCAACCCGATGGTCATGCGCTCGTCACAAATATCGTCACAACTTGACGAAAAGTGAATTTTACACGGAAATTCCTTCAGTTTGTTTAATAAGTCATGTATTGTGGTCATTTTGGTATAGGTGTCGACCCTTAACTCGTTGGACACCTCGGTATGTTCCCTTGTTAGTATAAATATGTTACGACGGTTACGGGATTTTGTCAGCAAAAATCACGTTACTGAGATAACGATTTTTACGAAGCTTGACCCTTTCTTTCACTTCGTAAACAATTTTACGATACTAAGGACACGAAAATAAACGTGAATACCATTATAATTTTACTAACTATATAATTTGTATTCTTGTACATTTTCATACATACAGCAGGGACGACATTCTGGCCAAGATCCGGAAGGAAGAAGTTACATATGAAAATATTGCAGCAGAATTACTAGAGTTGGACGAAAGCTTGACAAATATGCAGATTAACCTTGCACTCGATCAGACAGACGAAGTCATGGAAAATGTGAGCTTCGATTTAAACTAGTGAGAAATGTAGATTTATCCAGGCAACAATTTCCAACAAAAAGCATTAACACTTTTTAATTACATCCGGAATATGGGTGGCATTTTAAATAAAGTATGTCTGCAAGTTCTACAAAAAATATCAGAAACTGTCAAGAAATCAGAATTCTAAATATGAAATCATTACTTAATATCATGAAACCTTAAATTTATGTTAAACCAAATATATGTGTAATTAATCTATTTTTGATGTATGTATTTAACCTTTATTTTAAGCAAGTTATGGTAATGTAACTTTTCAAGAAATGGGGGATGACTCATTCTTGTCACTTATTTAAAATAAGAGATCTTTACAATGTGACTCATAAATGATGTCAACAACAATCTACTAGTTATTATATCAATCAGTCATGTTGAGATTTGAGAATTGGTCAAGTCTTGCATACATTAGGCTTCCTTTTTACTCCGACAAACAGATCGTGTCAAAAGGATTTTTATTTTCAATCTGAAAAGCTGATTGGATCGGATAGGATTTTCAAAACTCATTACTCTACTAACCTCTGGTGCCCCGTCCTTTACTACGACTTACTCCGAACCTGAAGTCGACGCTGATAAATCTTGTCGAACTATTGCTTTGTGCGTGCAATCATTAAATTGTGGTCCACTCAAGAATCCAATTAAACTGTGCATGTAGAGCTGTCAACATGTCACTTGAAAGTATCTATGTATGTATTCATCAATAAAATGCCAATAATGTGCTTTTAACAAAATTTAGGTACATAAGCTACCGTGTAAATTGTTTTATAATCATTTATTGATCATGTTAGGAACTTGGGCTTGGAGTTTATGAGGCCATTAATATTTGATTGACGGAAACATGGATTCAAGCAAATAATCAAGATCATATAGATGTTGGGAATTTTAGGCTACATAACACAATTGTCCCTTATCGCAATTCACGAAAGTCATTCAGGCCCTGCTTTTGAGGGTGGGATGGGTGTCCACGGCGCCAAATTCTGAGGGCGCCGAACGGCTTCCGTTTTATACATCGACAGATTAACCTTTAAAAAAGGGTGTCCAATTGTCTAATTACGATTATTACAATTGTTACACCTGCATAGTCAATTAATTATGTTGCGCATGAAAGACAAAATACATATTATTTATAAACATATTTATTTCAAGATACATTACTGGTCAATTTAAACACTAACAATTTGAACCAAATATTCAACAAGCCCATAGCTTGAATTGCTAATTATGTACACAGGCACATTATCTCTCTGGGCTAGTTTCAAATAAACAAAGAATGGTTATTTTAACCAGTAGTCGGTTAATTAAGTTGGGGAAGAATTTTCAACCATTACCGATATTTCAAAGTACAAACTGGACTGGACTTTTTCAACCAATTATAGTCTTTTTTCATTCAGAAATAACGATAAATTATCCCGTTGACTTGTTCTATTCTAAGCTGTTTCCAAAGAATAGATGAAGTAATCGACAATATATTGACAAAACCAAAATTGTGTGTACATTTTTGAAAATGTGGTGAAGTCACATGTACAAACACTCCGTGCTGGTACAGACTTGGGAAAAACTTCTTCCCAAATTGGTAATGATTCGTTTCTAAACAGTAGGTTTTTATTACAATAACGTTATACTTCATTACTAAGATCAGTGATAACTCAATACCATTTTGCAAAAAGTCTACAAAACCATACACTCCAAATTCGGTAGAAGAAATTGCTCACGAATAAACTACTTTTTTATAATTTCTCCTTTCTTAGATTATTAGCTCACCCTGCATAGCACGGGAGCTATTGAATTCCTCTTGTCTGTCCGTCCGTCCGTCCGTTGACGAGTTTTTTGCATCAATTGATGCTGATTAAAAATCCCCTTGCCCATTATAGACTTGTTTGGTCCCACCATTGGTATAGAACAATCCGAGCGCAAGTGCAAGTTAATTCAGCAAATAGATCGAGATAGGACTATAATTTTGGAAAAAGTAGCACCGTTAGTACCGAGCAATTGGTTATTAAAAATGATGCGTAACAATTGGGCCATCTGTTTCCCCCAAAAATCAATGATGCGTAACAAGTGGGCCATCTATTTCCCCCCAAAAATCATGTCAGAATTCTGTTCCATTTGTTCGATTATCCTGCACCATTAATGCAAAATTATTTGAAAATTCTATTCTAATATATTTGCTCCATTATTCTGCACCATTGACGCTAAAATATATAAATTTTATACTTGCGGTTATTCAGCACATTTGGTCTAAATATAAATGAAAGTAATTCCGACATTTTATATATTTGCCCTTTTGTATTGCACCATCGGTGCAAGAATGTATAAGAGTCATGATCTATTTTGTCGGCTTATTTTGCACCTTCAGTGCTAACTTCTGTCTAAATAATTATGACAGGGTGAGCTACTTCTAACGTTACTACGGTTTATTTTTAATTTTTTTAGATTATTAAGTTTTTTATGAAGGTTAGGGATTTTTTAACGTACGACTCGTTTGTGTTCAGCTTTTCCAATGTGTAATGTGCATATTCATAACATGTGTTCAATTATAATGTGAAAATAATAAAAAAAAACTACTTAAACTAAATTGTAGATAAGAATTGTATCACATAGGGCCCGTCACGATCTTGCCCCTGCCAACGAATACTAGGCACTGAATCCATTAAAAACTTTGAATATAAAATGAATGTCATCCAGCAACACCAGTCATTAACAAAAGAACCAACCAATCAATCCAATAAATATGTCTCCCAGACAGAAACATGTTTACCTCTTAGCCCTCTTCACAGTTTGTCACCAAGTTGGGCGAACAGGTCAGTACAATTTAACTTGATACTTAATTCGAGTGTCTTAATCAATTTAATAGTCCTTCTGTATTTAGCTGCCGTATCTTGTGGCGACGAGTGGACCACCTTCGAAGATTCAAAATGTCTAAGGTTCTATGATAATTTTGAAACTAAAGATGTAGCAATCCAGACGTGTGCATCCATACCATCAGAACCGACTAACACGGCACGCCTTCTATCCATAAAATCACAATCGGAGCAGAATTTTCTCAACACGTGGATATTTCAGGATTTGGGGGTACTGAACAGCGTTTGGTTGGACGGAAATCGATTTAACGGCACTCAGTTCGTCTGGGCGGACGGGGACGCAATGTCGTTCACAAATTGGAACGACGGATTTCCCACGAATCAAACTGCCGACAATCTCTGCATTGATATGTCGCCCAAGGCGAATTTAATGGGACAGGGTGCCACTGAGGTTGGAAAGTGGAAAGACGTCTCCTGTTCGAAACGAAATTTAGTCGTTTGTGAAAAGAAGCCAATGTTGACCGAGTCGGACCTACGAGATATAGTTTTCCAACTGACAAGGGACACTCACGACCTGTCGTTTGAGTCCAGGGTACCCACTATGTTTTTTAGAGTCTACTAGGACCCCAGATGAAGGATTCATTCATATTTCTGTGTAAAACTCATATTTGGCGCCATGGCGTGGCGCCAAATTCGCCAAATTTGATGGTTTTTCATTTTAAAACCGCCGTAACTTTTGAAATCCTGGACGGATTTTCAAAATTTTTGGCAAAAATCATGACAAGGAGTTCAACTTTCGTATTCTATGAAATTTTTTCCAAAATTGTCGCTTTTAACTTTTCGCAAAATTTCGAAATTTCGGGTTCGTCGAAAAAATGCTAAAAATATCTCAAAAATTAAAATTTTTTTATTTTTATTTTTTTCTCTAAGATTTCGACTTTTCTGATCATTTTAAGCATAAAATTTTAAAAATCCGACATAAACTGCAAAAGTTATGGGGGTTTGAAATTGGTCGAAAATGCAAATTTTTAAGTTTGGCGCCACGCCATGGCGCCAAATATGAGTTTTACACGGAAATATGAATGGATCCTTCATCTGGGGTCCTAGTAGATTCTGAAAAACATAGTGGGTACCCTGGACTCAAACGACAGGTCGTGAGTGTCCCTTGTGAGAAGTAACCCGGGTAAGATAAGAAGCCACTTATAATTAACCTTGTCAACAATTTTCCCACTAATTAATCAATCTGTAAGAAAATGTTGCACGATTGGTTTGGCTAGCCCACCACAAGCCCTTTGAAATATGTTTATTGCAGTTCAACGAATGAACTTCGCAAATTGAAAAAATGTATAAACCATTAATTATTATGTAGCGTCAGCTACTTGTTGTGGTCGTTTTTTCTGCCCATTCGTCATGATGGGCAGGATGTGTAGAGAACTTTAGGACATAATCAGATTCCGTTTTCGACATTGTGCATGTAATTTTTGGTTCTCCGTCGAGTTCGATACTGGAGTCAATTGACTTTCAGTACCAATGGGGGTGGCTAAGATAAATTTTAACTTTAATTTTCATATGGGGTACCATGTTAAAGGAAATTTCACCACGAATTCACGGTCGTCTATATTTGTTACCTCGTGACCGTAACGACGAGGTCATAGGTCTAATACATACTTAATGGTCATATTAGGAAATATTAATAATGAAATTGATAAGGAAATTTCGATTTCTCTGACGCTACTTTACACATTAGCATTTAAAAAAAATGCATGAAGTATTTAGTTTAATTAAAATTGATTTAGTTGATGCATTTAAAGCAGCATAATAAATTGACCTCATAAGGAATTGATTAATTATTTACTACCGGCTATCCAAAATTAAGGCCTATCAAATTGCATATTCTAGTGTCCTTATCGTTGCAGTCATCGTTGCAGCATTCTACTTACAGATGCACAAAATATTTGCTGTAGTTATAAAGTCAAATTGTTAGAAAGTTACAACAATTGTAAATTAATAAAAAATTGAATAAAAGTATGTTTTATAAGGGGTTTCTAGTCTGTTTCCTCAAGACCATCTTCACTAGAAAGCAAGGAAACATGAAACTCAATGCGGAAGCGTGTCACGCGTTTTGAGTTTCAAGCACATTTAACGACGTGCATGGTCATTCTTTAAAAAAATAGATTGAAACGGATATGCTAGTATCCAACTGCTCAAAAACCATGTGTCTATCCCTACTTTTGTGTTTGAACTTCATATATAAATATTGTATAATAAAATATTGTATAATAAAATTCATGTGCTGTATTTTAGTTCCGATTGGATTCATCTATGTCCAGCTGCCACTTCATCCCTCACCACACACGGTGTGGCCAAGTGTCATTTGGCGCGATGTCTCGAGCAGTTACGCCGGGTTGTTCTTCCGGACCGAGGGTGGCACTGCCGCTGCTTTTGGGACAATACAGGCTGAAAGCAGCAATTATCTTGGTTTCGTTGGTTTCCAATACTCCCTCAACGAGTATTCTCGATCCATTCTGGTTCCGAGTACAGGGTGGTCAAGCATCAGTAATGCAGGGTTTGCTCTACTGCAATCTGATATGTATGAGGGATTAAACTTTCGAAATACTGGATCCGAGACTCGTCCACAAAATATGGCTGTACGAGTATGGATGAGAGTATAGGTAGTATAAATATATACAAATATATGTGCTCATTGCTCTAATATAACCAACCAATAGTCAATTATAAAAGTTAGAACTGAAATTCCATTAATTGTTCCCAGTTACACTTTCTGTAACTTCTTAGTCGTTTTGGTATGTATTTAGGTAGCTCCAGGCTACGTTATTTAAGACCTTGCCCCCAGGATGTCTTTGAAACGTGCCCCTGCTATGGTTTAATTAAAGTGATACATATTTAGTAAGTTATTTCATTCCTTATTGGATTAAAAATAAATATACTCCATAGTTTTAATCACTGCTGACTTTTCTTTGTAATTAATTCATACGTGTGCAATACATTAATCGTAATAAAAGATTATTCCATGCATTTGTTCTCATGCACATGAATCAAATTTCCCCAACGAATATATGTTTTCCATAGAAATTCGTTTGAAATATCCCTAAACAATTCAGGAAGACATGCAGATGAGGAGACAAGAAGAGCATATTCGTATCCGGTGCAATACATGATGATCAAGTTGATAAAATCTAATCAAAAATGGGATAACCATATTTAATTAACTTGAAGCAAAAGCATGCCTTGGAAAAATTGTGAATGCATATTTGCTAGGCTAAGTTGGTTTTATTTGGATGTAGCCTTAAAACCGCACCGTTGAGGTTGAGAACAACACGCATACATTGGACGAAATTGTCCCACTGGAGCCAACCAAGTAATTTAATTAAACTCGCAATTTTTGAAAACCCGGAATGGATCATCAATGTACATCCCCAACCGTCAAGTGTTGTTTTCAAAAAATTTAATTTAAGAACCAATACAATTTTAATATGGGCAAGTAGGATTTACATATAATAAGAACTGATTGTGGTACAATTACAAGATTTTTTTTATTACAGCTGAAAATCTATTAAAACCTATTAAAACCTCAGTTTGAACCATTAAAATCCTTGCGTCGTTGTTTTTAAGGTTTTATAACCTTGGTTTAATGGGCTGGTACCAGGGTTCGGAAAACCCCGGGGTTTTTGTACAAAAACCCACCCCCGGGGGTTTTTCCGGGGTTTTTGGGGTTTTGTGGGTTTTTGGGTTTTTGTGGGTTTTTGTGGGTTTTTGTACATTTTGGGCAGGTTGAACCGGAATTCCTCAAATTATATATTACAGAAAAACTAATTTAATATACGAATTCAGCGCGCAATTTTAACCGTTATCATTGTCTCGGACTGTTACACCGAAAATTCATGAAAGGGGTCAAAACTTTTTTTTCATCCGGAGAAATGATTGGATCGGTCTTTTTGCAAATCTAAATAATATATCCCATCGTTTTTTAGAACCTTAAGGACGGATCGGATTAGTTTTGCTTTAAATCCAGAAAACCGATCGTCACAAAGCGATTTTTATCATTAATGTGAAAAACGAATTGGACCCCTGTGACCCGACTCAGCATTTGGTTTCTCCCTCATTGACTGCGATATACTCCTATGTGACTTGTGCTTGACTGCTTTGTTACTGCGACCATTAAATTATAGTCCACTCAAGAATCCAATTAAACTGTGCATGTAGAGCTGTCAAACATGTGATCTGAGAGTAATGACGAATAAAATTCCGATGAATTGCTTTTAACGAAGTTTAGGTACATAGGCTGCCGTGTAAATTGTTTTCCTATCATTGATTGATCATGTTAGAAATTTGGACAAGTACTTTGTGAGGCCATTAATTATATTTGATTGACGGAAACATGGTTTCGAGTTAATATTAAAAGATAGTAGAAAGGTTGGGAATTTTAAGGTTACAAAACACAATTGCTTCTTATCACAATTCACGAAACCCAATCAGGCCCTGACTTTACGGGGGTGCAATAACGGGAGTTCTGCAGGGCGCCAAAAGGTTTGCTTAACCTATCCAAATGTTAGTCATCTATATTATAAGCTGGAAATGTCTTTTGGCAACGGAAGTGAAAGTGGAGAAAGTGATTTGCATATCCACTGCGTTGGAAATTCGATAAGTAATTTATCCGTTACTCTGGTTACCCGGAAGGGAAGTTAATGGAAATTGTTGACTGTGGTCATCGGGTCGCATGTGGGAATGACATGTGCTCCATTGGTTATCGCTCTGCTGGGGGGAGGGGATGGGTTGACCTATTGGGATATGGTTATCGCTATTCTGAGGGGGAGGGGGAGGGTAAGCCCCCTGCCCGCTCCCAAAGCAGTGAGACATGACTGGACGGAAGGTGAAAGGATTCAGTTTCCTTCATGGGTAGACAATTTTTATATTGGTTAGTTTAATTTACAAGATAATATCTTGTAAAAACACATATTATGTGTATTTGCATAGATTTATTTACATAGATACATACATAATATTACATATACATACATATGTATGTATATGTCTGTATATATTTTTGTATCTTACATATAAATAAATAATTTTTTTTCAAACTGACCGATTTTCATGCAACTGTTATTTTTTAGAAATTGTTACAAACCCCAGAGCATTCTTATGGACAAAGTTAATATTTTTATGATACAATATAATTTGTAGTTGAAATAAAATAAAGTACGAGCTACATTATTAAGTAGCTTCAGCTACTTTATGTGAAGACTTTGTCTGTCTGTCTGTCTGTCTGTCTGTCCGTCTGTCTGTCAGCAGGATATCAGGAGAACGGATCGAGATAATCGAAATCGGTTTTCGCCATCATACATAGGACCCCAGGGGGAGGATCCTATCAACTTTTGGGGGCAACCGGACCACACCCCCTTTGGCGACAGGGGGTGTGGTCGGGGCAAAATGAGATTTTTAGTGCAATTTAATCTATAGGTGAAATAGAGTAAAATTATGTGTTCCGGAGTTGTGCCACACCCCCTCGGCGCCAGGGGGTGTGGTTGGGGCAAAATGAGATTTTTAGTGCAATTTAATCTATAGGTGAAATAGAGTAAAATTATGTGTTCCGGAGTTGTGCCACACCCCCTCGGCGCCAGGGGGTGTGGTTGGGGCAAAATGAGATTTTTAGTGCAATTTAATCTATGGGTAAAATTAGGTGAAATTGAGTGAAATTAAATGAAATTAAGTGAAATTAAGTGAAATTAAGTGCTTCCCCGATTGTGCCACACCCCCTCGGCCCCAGGGGGTGTGGTTGGGGCAAAATGAGATTTTTAGTGCAATTTATTCTATGGGTAAAATTAAGTGAAATTGAGTGAAATTAAATGAAATTAAGTGAAATTAAGTGAAATTGAGTGTTTCCCCGATTTTGCCGCACCCCTTCGGCGCCAGCGGGTGTGGTTGGGGCAAAATGAGATTTTTAGTGCAATTTAATCTATAGGTGAAATAGAGTAAAATTATGTGTTCCGGAGTTGTGCCACACCCCCTAGGCGCCAGGGGTGTGGTTGGGGCAAAATGAGATTTTTATAAAAAATTAATCTATAGATGAAATAGAGTGAAATTAAGTGTTCCCGAGTTGTGGTGGGACCGTTTGGGGTGAAGTACGTCTGAAGCTACTTCCGTATGCGCGTTTGCGACGGTTTATTCTATTATATATTTAGGCATGCATTTAAAGCCTCTCCAAAAAAATGGGAAGTACCCTCCAATATTTCAGAAATACCCTCCATTGAACCCTACCTCCTAATGTTATTTTTGAATTAGGATTTTGGTGGCTAACTACCTCTTAAAATAATAAACGTATGTGCAACTTATAATTTTGGAATTTTGTATAAAATTTTGTGTATTCATTTATTTACAATTAAAGGTAACGCTTCCATAAAAACAAATTTTTAGCCCGAACCAGGGCTTATGTAATTGGCATGTCCGTCTGTCTTTCTATAACTCTCTAACGAGTTGACCGATTTCTACCACATTTGGTACAGACATGTATCTGGGCAATGCAACGACTGAGTTCGAAGATGAGTTAGTTCAGAAAAGTTTTGGACCGGTGGGGGATATATGAGTGCGTGGGGTATCTATTATGCAATAAAATTTTGGTCATTAAGAGGTTGCTTTCCACTTAGGGAACTTTTTAAATATTTGGAGGGTGATTTCCATTGTTCTGGAGAGACATTAAATTACTTCCATATATTTACTACATATCTAAATCCTAGCGATGGAAGAAGTTTGTTCCTTATATCCAAAAAAAGTTCCTTAGATAGTATAGTCTTTAAAATTATGACAATAGATAATCTCTAAGAATTAAGCCTTTCATGTGGAAACAGTAACATAATTCCCTTGAAAAGTTCTACCTGAACGAACTACCCAATAGGCATGTAAGAATTGTATCACATGGGGCCCGTCATTATCTTGCCGCTGCCAGAGAATATTAGGCACTGAATCCATTAAAAACTTTGGATATAAAATGAATGTCATCCAGCAACACCAGTCATTAACAAAAGAACCAACCAATCAATCCAATAAATATGTCTCCCAGACAGAAACATGTTTACCACTTAGCCCTCTTCACAGTTTGTCACCAAGTTGGGCGAACAGGTCAGTACAATTTAACTTGATACTTAATTCGAGTGTCTTAATCAATTTAATAGTCCTTCTGTATTTAGCTGCCGTATCTTGTGGCGACGAGTGGACCACCTTCGAAGATTCAAAATGTCTAAGGTTCTATGATAATTTTGAAACTAAAGATGTAGCAATCCAGACGTGTGCATCCATACCATCAGAACCGACTAACACGGCACGCCTTCTATCCATAAAATCACAATCGGAGCAGAATTTTCTCAACACGTGGATATTCCAGGATTTGGGGGTACTGAACAGCGTTTGGTTGGACGGAAATCGATTTAACGACACTCAGTTCGTCCGGGCGGACGGGGACGCAATGTCGTTCACAAATTGGAACGACGGATTTCCCACGAATCAAACTGCCGACAATCTCTGCATTGATATGTCGCCCAAGAAGGATCTAATGGGAGTAGGTGCCACTGAGAATGGAAAGTGGAAAGACGTCTCCTGTTCGAAACGAAATTTAGTCGTTTGTGAAAAGAAGCCAATGTTGACCGTGTCGGACTTACGAGATATAGTTTTCCAATTGCGAAGTAACCCGGGTAAGACAAAGAAGCCACTTATAATTAACCTTCACAACAATTTTCCTACTAGTTAATTAATGTGTACGAAAACGTTAATAGCTTGGTTTGGTAATTCCGCCGCTAGCCCTACTAAATATATTTTACGCACTTCCTGAAGAAATGCTTCGACAGATAATATTGAATTATCGCTTTGTTTTATGATTTATTATTTCAGTCCCGCGTATGAATTATACATGTAACTTGAAAAGTTTTTTTAATTCATTCGTCATGCATTCCGAATTGAAAAAAGTGCCATTGCGGAGACTATGACCACTTGGTCGAAAAGTTTAGGTTGCCCATTGTTACATATGTGCACGATCTTTTACGTTCTAAAGTAGATAAGGTCTTCCCACCATACAAACTATACTGTTTAATTCTCCTCTACCTATGCCCCCAGTAGTGTGAAGCGCCAAAACCTTTCAAGTAGTAGCTGTAGTTAAGCAAGCCCTGGATGGATTTTGCTTATTCTGGTTGAACAATTAGTTGAATGGGTTGAAAATATTTTGGACATACTTAAACATTTGTGTCTAAAGTTCGTGTATAAATCGTAAAATAAAATTCATATGCTGTGTTTTAGTTCCGATTGGATTCATCTATGTCCAGCTGCCACTTCATCCATCACCACGAACGTTATGGCCCAATATAATTTGGCGCGACGTCTCGAGCATTTACGCCGGGTTGTTCTTCCGGACCGAGGGTGGCACTGCCGCTGCTTTTGGAACAGTACAGGCTGAAAGTAGTAATCATCTTGGTTTCGTTAGTTACCAATACTCCACTGGTCCTTATAATTCCTCCGTTGAGCTTCCGAGTACAGGGTGGGCAAGAACCGTGGCAGCCGGGTTTGCTCCACCTCCACCTTATCTGTATGAAGGATTAAACTTTCGAAATACTGGAAATGAGACTCGTCCGGAAAATATGGCTGTTGGAATTTGGGTGCGGGTTTAGTAGTACATACGTATGTTCTTCATTCGTTAAGAGTATGAATTGTAATCCCAGAGTATACCTGCATACGTACATATGTAAGTATGCATGAAAAATATTACCTCTATTATACAAGTAAAAACTTAAATAATACTCAAACTAAATTTGATTAAAGTTTACTCAATTTTGAGTAAAATTGCCAGTGTCACAACTTACGAGTAAAAGTTATCCAAGGAAAGTTCAAATTTATCCTAATTTAAAAGATTTGTGCTCAACCTTGAGTAAATATGTATTATTCAACAGTTGTGTTACTTACCATAAAGTTCACTCAACTTTATTTACAGTGCATTAATTTTTCAGTTTCGCTAAGGTGCAAGTTAGTTTACTATGTAGGTAGCTCCAGGCTACTTTACTGTGTAGTCGAGAGTTTTAATTCCTTAGTATTAATTAATACAATATATATTAATCGTGTGAAAACACTATTCAATACATTTGTTCCCGTGAGAATGAAACATATTTGCCCAGGATATATATTTTTCCATTGACATTCGTTTGAAATATATATTTTTAGTCAAATTTTCTTATGCTCGTTGCACATAGGATTCTTATTTTTGTATTTTAATCTGGTTTGAGTTGTCCTCCTATTTTACGTAAATCCGTGGTGTAAAAGAAATTAAAGCCTATGTGACGTAAATTTTTCGTGCAATTGGCGATGTCCTCTTCGCCTTTGTTCATCGCCAAGTATTGCCAATACTTGGTACATACACATTATGCATGTACCAAATTGCTTACGCGTCGATACTTGATTTCATCAAGAACAAATCGGCTCACTTGGCCACACATTGCACGATTTTAAAAATTGATCAATAACATACATAAGTATTACAAAGTTTACTTAAATGAAATGGAGTAATGTTACTAACCTACGTGTAATATAAAGGAAGTATTAATAAGATGATTTGTAAAATTTTAAAATTGATTGGGCTGCTGCCAAGTCAAAAAGGAATAAAATAATAATAATAATAATACATAAGTATTACAATAAAATAATATGTAAATATTATGTATATAAATAATAAATGTTAAATAAATAAATTCGGTATTCAAGTAAATAATTTTAAATTTAAATTCAAAGGTTTTTATTATGCATTTATGTACAAATTTGTATTGTTTTCGCTTATAAATACATGATTTTTACCTTTTCTTTACATTTAATTTTCTCCTGGCATTGCGTAGTTTCGAGCATTCTCATGCATCTTTCTGGATTTTTTACAGGTGTTATTAAATGTTAAAAAAACAATAAGGAATGTACAGTTGTGGCTAAAGGGGTTCCATGTGAAATTGCATAAAACACTTTTGCATAATACCCTTATGGTATAAAATTTATTGCATAATTACCACTTACCATAAGAGAGTTTTTTGTACATAACTCCATTTCGAGTTCGGCTGACACAGTTCCTCAGGTGTCATTTCTCTGCTTAAGGCGATAAGGGTTTTATTGACCTCGCTCTGTGATGCATCGCTGCTTCCATAGGCATCCGATTGAGCGGATGACAGGTAGTACAAAACAAATTGCAAGATTACTAGAACCAGAGCAAAACCAGATTGCCAGAACGGACCCCATTTTTTAACGGATTGTGCGCGATTCAGCCTGTCGTTGTGCGAGTGGGAATTTGAGACTGGGCGGGGTAAAGTTTCGTGACCATCACTGTAACATTGAGCTCATACATTGGGGGCCGGATTTCTAGGACTCTTGGCACAAACTTCCCAATATGTTTTAGACTTTTATATGTATGCAAAAGCGCATGAGGAATCTAATGCTCTTATCAGACTTTTATTATCTTCAGTGGCTTTGCACGGTGGATCGGTAATTTATATAAAAAAATATAATTTATTTATTTTTATACGTAGTATAAGAAACTTTTTGGCATATCGACAATTTCAAATAATGATGACGGTGATAAATCAGGTGGGGTACGAAGTCCAGCCGGTTGCCACTTTTGTGACGCTCTTGTGCTGCATTAGCACGGGATACATCGTGGTCGATTTGATGGGCTAGATGCCTTTCCGATAACAATTTTTGCGGGTTATGCCCTGATTTTGTTTATTGGATTGATTAATTTCTTGATGCCCTTGTTGGCCGAGATGACTGCAAGGTCGGTAAATTTTGTGAGGTACTGGAAGCTTCAGAATATGTCAGATTGTGGGAAGAGACCGTTGAGAAGTTGTAAAACCCTGGCAATTTGGATCGGCCCGTTTATTCAGGTTACGAGGGGAGTGAGGATCGAATTCGTTGGTTTAGCGCTTTATCACATTGTGTCACTAATACTGTTAATTTAGTTGATCAATTTGCACAAAGTTTTAAATGCCAAGGGAAAATATGTAAAAACAGCTAAATCCGTGTGTGGTAAAAAAAAGGCCTGCGTAGGCGTAGTTAATACTTTTTGAAACTAATCGTAAGATATGAAATAAATAACAGAACTAGCTCTTATCAGGTTTAGGATCAAATTTTTTGGCTAAGCACTTTGACCCACTGTGTGATAAATAGGTCAATTTACAGGAACCATTTACGCAGCGTAAATATAAGCTAGCCTAAATTACGCTAACTTATAAAAAGAGGAATGTGTCAGCCTAATTGTAAAAAGAGCTAACTGCATAAAAAAGATAAACTACCCATGCATTTAGGCATTTTTGAAACTAAGGTTTCGATGTCCTTTGGATATGTTGGAGTATCTCATGAATGAACAATAACCCTTCAGTGGTTTGACTCCAAGGCCACTTTTGCGCCCGCCACACCCACTCAAAGCTGCCCAAAAACCGTACAAAACTGTGCTTTCATTCATTCAAATCCAAGCCAAAAATCCAATTTTACTCGGATTTTGAAAATCCGTACACCAGATAGTTGTACAAAAATTCCCTTGACTTTTGCAAAAGTATTTTTTCCTGATCGTTTAAAATTGTAGACCCATCTTCGTGATAATGTACGATTTTTTATATGTAATTAATCATACGCATTATGTTCCAAAAATTCTTGTAGCGATATGGGCTGCAGCCATCGTTTGAACAAATAAATGCATTGATCGATGGATTGAAAATGTTGACGATCATTCTAGATAAAAACTACATGGTTAAGACTATATGTACTTAAGTTAACGATTCCATTTGCCTAGTTCTTTTGCAATACACTTATGTAAGTTAAGTTAGCTAATAAAACTATTGAGTCCGTTTGTTGTGAAATATTTATTTGTAAATAAAATAGTTAAAAATCAGTATCGAAAATAACGTTTAAAACTTTAATAGCATCAAGAGTTGTTTATTCTTGAATCATGCCGTGCTATAAAATGACTTTATCCTTCATGGGATAAATTGTATGGACAATATAATTCCACGTACATGGGGTTAAACATTAAGCAAAAGAACTTCAAATAAATAATTCATGGAACCATGCATACACTCTTACAAAACTGGAGTTAAGTCCAAGTAAATACACCAGTGACTCTACGACGCTGGTAGTAAAGTAAATAACAGACATTACCGTTCAGTATTATTGCAGTAATAACAAAATTATCACTCAGCAACAAACTACCAACACGTACCAGCAATACCAGCAGAGTGTTTACACCCTGTAGATAATTCTATGATACGATTGTTTCCGGTGAAGGTACTATGTAGTTCTACTGCTTGGGTACAAATATGTCACCGAAGGATAACATATTTACAGAGGCTAAATCCTGATCTCTGAGATAAGTTTTCACCCTGAGGAGACATCTTGTTACTACCTAGTCTTATCTTAAAAAGTGATAGTAGAGTACACGACTAAATCTGCTTGGCTTTAAGGAATTCCAAATTTCTTTCTATTCCATTGGAAAGCCAGTTAAATTTCACGTAGAAAACATGTGTTAGACATGAAAATGTATTCCTCCTGTGACCATGACAAATTGGTCACGAAAGAGAAAGCTCCATCAAAAATACACACGAAATCAATCGACAAAGTGTATCATTCCCGGGTCAGAAATTTTTTTGTGACCTTGACAGTTATATAGGACTCAGAACAGAACTTTTCCCCAACTCGAATCATAATTTGGGGATGCAATCAAGTTCGGTTCGAAAATACCAAGGTCAAACTTAAATTGGAAATGAAGTCAGAAATACAAATCTTCAGCCAGTTTTTCACGAATTTCGCGGTATATGTTACTGTGGAGAACTGCACAAAGGTCAGTGGCTTTCCGCACAATATGGACTGCTTGAGGGGGTGTTCCATCTTCACTATGACGTTAGTTAAATATTTTTTTAAACTATCTCCTCTCCATAATCGAGTAAATTGGGCGGTTTTTGCCCAATTCTGCCGATTCCCGCCAAAACCATGAATGCAGCCCAATAAGATAACATTCGACCTCCATTTCGTAATTAACTAACCCTAAGAATATTTAACATAGATTCTGCTTCTTTTTTTGTGGAAATATGGTTCCGTCTTAAAGAAATTCCCATCCATAAACGGGTTATTTTGTTTGTTTTTTTACCGTACCGCTGGGAGAGGGAGGTCGATTTATTGACCTTAGCTTGGGTCTGGGAAATCTATAGCGCGTGACGCTTTCTACTGTAGAAGGCCTCCATCTTAGGATAATTTTTCAGTGCTCATCTGATTCCTAAAGTTGAACGGTCATTTATATGGCCCAAGTCTTCGGCGTCCGACAGAGATTTTGTGCTATTCTGGCGTTCAAAGCTTCGGACATCACTGTAGTCCTCCTTGACTTTGGACCACCGGAACTTTTGTGTCATAAATAGTCACTGTCCCTAGGGTGAATTTAATAGGTTGGTCAACCAGATCGTAGTTGCCCTTGAATTTCTACCCTATATCTAACATTGTGAGTTTTTTGTCTCGCGTAAAAAGTGAAAACTTATTGTCGCGCGCGCGTGGTAAATCTCCTCTAGCTTTTGACCTAGTGAAGTCAGGTAAAGGAGGTTAACAACAATGATAGTCACTGAATGTAGGCACAAACTGCAACTTACATTTTAATTTTATGTTGACCGGTTCAAATACTACGCTCTACTATCACTTCTTATGGTAAGACTAGGTATTTGTAGTTTTACCACCCGGCTGAATTGCAAAGTACCTCCGGCGGTAACAATCGTATCACAAAATTGAAAATTATTTAGAGTGTAGATGACCCTACCAAATTTGTAGCAATGGCGTCCTGCCATTACTTTCAAGGTTTTCCAGCAGAAAATATCTACAAAAGTTGTCTACCTAATCGATCCAGACTGGTATTTGTCTTCACGGACAAACCTCAAGTCACCATGAATGGCTTAAAAATGCGATTGTCTCAACTTGCCCCGACCCTCAAGGCGGACTATGGGCCAGGTGCCGAAAAAATGGTCACTTGCCACACCCCCAGTGGGTGTGGCCCTCGGCGACTTTTCGATTTTAAGGAAACAATGTCATGTGATTTATAATTTTCCTTAGCTCGACAACGAGGGTTCGACGGAATATCTAAAATTGCGAAACTGCACCCCCAGTGGGCGTGGTTCTAAGCAAATTGTCGATTTTAACGAATCCATATCATGTGATATATCATTTTCCTCAGCTCGAAAAGGGGGTTTCGACGGAATACCTAAAATTGGGAAACCGCACCTCCAGTGCGCTTTGAGCTTGCTTGAAGCACATTTTCGATTTTAATAAAACTATGCCCTGTGTTATATCATGTTTCTCAGCTCGGCAGAATTATTAGATTTTTGAAGCCACGCCCCCAGTGGCGCTCAGCGACTTAAAGTCGTTTTCTTAAATTTTAAATTTCACCCACACCGAAATAGCACCACCTGTATTTTTACGTTTCCATGAATCTCGTGTCATCGATTGTGGCGTTTGAATTTGTGGCATTTCACACTGGTCCGGATTGCTTTATTTGTTTGCCAAAACCTGTAGCCCTAGAACCATTTCATTTTTTCGAATTCTGCCTTCGGGAATTCAGATATGTATGAAGTTCCGAGGGGCATAAGTAATTCAACCTTCATTGAACACCACCCCTTCTTGTGAGTGTGGTCACAGGTCAATATTTATTTTATCGCATAACCCCATCAAGTGGGGTGTCATTTGA